AAAAAAAAAAAAAAAAAAAAACATTGCCACTGAGGCGATCCCACGGGGCAGAAGAGAACTGTACCATAGGGTTTCCAAGGCTGTAATCTTTATGGATGCAGCAGACTGACATGTTTTTCTCCTATGGAGCGGCTAGCGGGTTCAAACTGCCAACGCTTTCAGTTAGAGCTCTTAGTCACTGCTCCATCAGGTATAAAAACCCAAAACACCAAACCCATTGCTGTTGAGTTGATTCTAACTCACAGCAACCTATAGGACAGAGTAGAACTGCCCATAGAGTTTCTTAGGAGCGGCTGGTGGATTTAAACTGCCAACCCAATATATGGTCTGCAGGCATAGCTCTTAACCACTGCACCACGGGGGCTCCTTGACACACACTAGCACTCAGTAAATATGGCACATAAACTGACTAAATGGCATAGTAAAATTCATGGTTATTCATCCTCCACCCAACATCATAATGTCTTGTAGCATATTTGCCTCCATCTGTGCTTTTCCCGACTCACAGCGACCCTACAGGACAGAGCAGAACTGCCCCACTGGGTTTCCAAGGAGCGCCTGGTGGATTCGAACTGCTGACCTTTTGGTTAGCAGCTGTAGCTTTTAACCACTGTGTCACCAGGGTCACTATCAGTCAGAATCAACGCGACAGCAACAGGTTTGGTTTTGGTTTGGTGCTTTTCCCACTCACATCTAATATTTCCCAACTGTCATTTCCTACCTATATGACCATAGGGAAGTCAGTTAACTTCTCTGCGCTCAGTTTCCTCATCTATATGATGGGAGTAGTAATATTACACACTTCATAGGATTATTAGGAAGATTAAATGAGCCACTATATGTCAAGTGTTTTAAGCAATGCCTAGCTCTGGTAGGTGACATCCAGTAAGCTACAAAAGGGCAGAGATCTTTGCCCCTCTGTTCACTGCCCAGCACCTGGAACAATGTCTGACAGGGCAGATAATCAGTAAGTATGCTGATAGTTTAGTAAAGATGTATTTCTCTTCCACGTTTTTCTCCGATCCCTTGCTTTGTCCCACCAGTGCCACAAACTCTATATCCCACACACATCCGTCTCTCCAACAACAAAAAACCAGCACAATCCTCTTACTATTTAAAATGGGTCACTGTTAACTATCAAATTTCAGACACCAGCAGTCAGAACACTTTTCCTGAAACAGATTACATAATAGTTCTGAGCTGCCTTGTACCAGCTGTTTAAATACAGACAACAATTGAGGCCTGGAGAACAGTCCAAAGAGCTATTGTTTAAGTTAGGACTGCATGCAGGAGTTAACAATAACTATCAGGGTCAGGGCTGGGAATAAGAAGATTATTGCCTTCTGTTTCCACATTTAAGTAAGGAAGATTACTACTCTGAGTATCCACATTCAAACATATACAAAGTTACAAACCCTGTAAATCATATACAGTAATACAAACTCAGTTCAATCTATTTTAAAATAGAGTTTTACAAAAATTAAATTACCTAAAATTAAGCCAACCATTGTACTTAAATATCCGGTTCCACTTCCCAGGTTAAGAAAAGACAATCCTGGTTGAAGTTTCAATGCTTCCATAACTTCAGAATAAATGCAGGGTGCTGACAAGTGGATGTTTCCATGCTTCCAGGCCAAGTCTTTGTAAGCATTGTCTCTGTAGCCTTCCAAATAGTAATCTCCACGGTCAATAGCTCTGAAGGCTTGCTCTACTCTTTCAGTGCGGATATACTGAGCTTCTTTTAAGTTGTCTATTAAATCATCATTATCTTCTCCAGCACTCACAGCTCCCCCCATGACTGTATTCAAATCAAATCATATATTAAAATTAGCAAAAACGGCTTCAACAATGGTGTGGCTTGTTTTCCTCTTAATATTGCACTTGACTTCCAAAATGCATTAATCCTGAAAGGGAAGAACAAAAACAAAGAGGTTTAAATTAATGCTCAAAAAGAAAATAATTCTAGTTTATTAAATATATAATAGTCACTACAATTAACTAGCATTTCTCAAGGGCAGATTCCAAGCATTGTGTTAAGCTCCTTAAATATTAAATTCTTATAACAACCCAATAAAGTAGCTTAAGTATTCTCTCGTCTTTACAGATCGGAAACTGGGACGCGGAGATATTAAAGTTAGTAAGTCATCTAGTACTGTGATTTTCATTACGGTAGCCATTAACCAAACATGGCTAGTTAGACTTAAATTACAATAAAATTAAAAATTTAGTTACTCAGGTTAGCAGTCAAGCACTTAACCACTGCAATACCAGGGCTGCTAGTCACATTTCAAGTGCTTAATAGCTACATGTAGCTAGTGGCTACCATACTGAACAGCCAGGGACAGATTACCCAAGAAGCAAAGTAAGTACATGCTTAGGGCATCAACAAAACAGTGGCACCAGTTGTCCCAAGCAAAGACCCAAAGACAGGACACAAGGAAAACTGAACGCTGCACTGAAAGGGAACTGACAAGACGCTAAATGAAACTGATAACCATTTTATAAATTTTGTATACAATAACAATTGTATTTTCCTTTTAATTTCCAACCAATCAAATATAACCTCACATTCTCTTTCATCAACCATGTAAGAACAAGCCAGCGGCACTATAATCACATGACTTGTGATGTATCTGGTCCTACGCAAAGCAAACCAAAACGCGTCTTCAGACTGAGCATACCCTTGCATTTGTACCACGCTCTTTGCGATCGCTCTCACCCCCTTCAGGTATCAGTAGTTGAATGAACTGTGAAGATGCAGCATCAAAGGATGGAAAATGAGTGTGCAAGTTTTCAAGTATTATTTCAAGACAAAAAACACTTGTGGAAATCTGAGAAGGGCCCCAAACGAATGAAATGATTTCCCACTGCTTTGTAAGTACTATTTCTTTTGACTATCTCAGACCTGAAGAACAAAATCACGTTACAAGTCAATGTTTTTTACTTACTAATTTTCAAATATAAATATTTGTGTTAACATCCAAATTCAAATATAAATTTTATTTTATAAATTTACTTGTTTTACAAATTTTAATTATTTTCAATTATTCAAATTTATTTTCTATGGCAGAACCAAATTCAAAAAGTGGCATAATTTTATATCCAGGTAAAATGAAATGGCAAAAACTAGGTGCTGTACAAAAACTAAAGCTTCAAGAAAATTTGTGAATCCCTAAAGACAACTCCAAAATTAACTTCCTTTTAAAAACAGTGAGTCAAAAGAGACTTCTTCCATTGAACGCTTGAGCTTAATGGGTGCAAATCATTGTACTAGTACCGCTAGCACTGTAATTACCAATGCAAAAGAAAATCAAACCTGCTGCTGTCGAGTGGATTCCAACTCATAGCAATCCTACAGGACAGAGTAGAACTGCCCCACAGGGTTTCCAAGGAGCAGCTAGTGAATTTGAACTGCAGACATTTTGGTTAGCAGCCAAGCTCTTAACCACTGTGCCACCAGGACTCCAGAATTACTAGTGATTAATAAACTAATTCTATTAATTTATTATATAAATTATATATTAATAAATAATTGATAAATTACTAAGAGCAATAAGAATATAACAGAATTTGTTCCAAATACTGCATTTATTCTTTGCTGTAGTAAAAAAATTAATGATGCACTAAGTGAAACTATTTTAGAATCTGAAATTGTATCTGCAGGCCCCATAAATAATAGAAATACAGAACGATTTTTCTTCTAATGATGCAAATTATTGGATCAAAAGTGGGCCAAGTGATTGTCAACATCACAGTGGACCATCTGAAAATTCCTGGTGAAAACTTCTGGATGGTAAACAAACAAGGTTCTACAGCCAGAATACATCCCTAGGGTGCAAAGCTAATGGCAAAAATTATAAGAGGAGGTGGCTACTGTATTCTCCATCAGTTGGCTCTGTGTACTGTTTTGTTCGCAAACCATTCAGTCTTAAATCATTTAATTCTCAATTTGCTACAGATGGACTTAGAGATTGGTGCATATGACTGATAAACATGAAAATAGTTCAATTCACAGAGATTGTATGCTGTCATATTCAAACTGAAGACATGGTTCTGGCTTAACTCATGAACTGGAAATACAAATTAGTGGAGAACATCAGTACTGGAAAGCTGTTTTGCAACACGCCATTTTAACAACTGCTGAACGTGGACTATCTTTTCGTGGAAGAAATGAAGTGTCTGAATTTCCACAAAATGGAAATTTTCGGGGTTTACTTGAACTTCTTGCTCAATTTCATCCATTTTTAGTGGTCACATCTCAAAATATAGTAAAGGGCAACCCATCATACATGTTTAAAACAACATGCGAAGAATTAATAAACTTAAGTTTGATCAACTATTTTCAGTGAAATAAGTATAGCTCAATATTTCAGTTTGTAGATTCCACTCCTGATCTTTCTGATACACATCAGCTATGTATTGTTTTAAGATACAATTCAAGCACTTCACTATTTATGTGAAGTTTGCAAAACTGATTCTAAGTGCAGAGGCCAGTCCTATAACAATGCTGCCAATATGCCAGGGTGTTATGAAAGCATGCAACAGAAAATTTAGAACGTAATGAAAATGCCATTTTCATACCACCTGCTGTGCATTCACTTAATCTTGTAGGATGTACTGCAGTAGATTGTTGTCCAGAAGCAGCTGATTTTTTTTCTACTGTTCAGTTACTCTACACACTTTTTGCCACCTCTATTCATCAATGGGCTGTTCTTAAAACATATTTCGGCAATGATTGAGTATTAAAATATCTTTATAATGTATGCTGGGAAGCGCAAGCTGTAGCAACAAATGCAATCCTGGAACCATACGCTCAGATTCCAGACGTATTAGAAAATACTGCTGAAGACCAGACAAAAAAAAGGACACACCAAGAGAAGATGAAAATATTGCCAACAAAATGCAAACACTAGAGTATGTATTTATGTTGGTTATGTTGAATAATGTATTGCAGCATTTTCATCGATGAGTCAAGCTCTCCAACATTCAGAAGTAAATGTAAAGACATGCGCAAATCTCTACCAGTCATTAATAAAGTATTTACATAATTTAAGATATTTGGAAAATACAACAGAACAAATACTATCAAATACTGATTATCAAGCAGTTCACCATCACAGAAGCATAAGGAAGGAAACAAGTAAATGATGGAAGTGCTCTAGAAGGATCACTGAGTGCTAGAGATCAATTCACAGAACCATATACTACACCATCAATGACATGCTTGAATCTTGCATGAAAAGAATAGTGAAAGTTTATGATGTTCTTTCAAATAGATTTTCCTTCTTAAACCATGTGGATATCCCTGATGAAGAATGCGTGAAGGCATGCAATGCAGGCTTATCCTGATGATTTAAATACAAACCTTTATGAAGAAGTGTGACAATTTCATTCTTACATAAGAACTAACTTTACAGGTTCAGGAAAGACAAATCTTACTCATGTAGGCATGTATGATTCCATAACAGAAGATAAAATACAATGCGTATTTCCCAACGTTGAAATTGCTTTATGCATATTCCTAACATAAATTATCACAAACTGCACAACAGAATGCTCATCTTTGTCCTTAAAGAGACTCAAAAACTTTCAGCATATAATGATTCAAAAAAGACTTGATTCATTATCCTTAATATGTATGGAAGTAGATATTGTTGGCCAGCTTAATTGTGATGAAATCATTGAAGAATTTTTAAGAGCAAAGAATAGAAAGGTTTTTAATTATGTGTTAGAGATGAAAGGTCTATCTAAAAATAAAACAGTAATTTCTTATAATGTTTGTTTCCTGACCATTAGATTTTCTTTTATGACATCTTTGCATTTGTTCATTTATAATTATAGCATTTATTACTAAACAAGCATCAAAATTGAAGTATGACCCATGTGATGGTTAAAGTTGTGTGTCAACTCAGCTGGATTATGATCCTCAGTGGTTTGGCAGTTATGATGTAGTTTGCCAGCTTTTTAATGATGTCATCAACTCCAGGATGAGATCTGACATAATGTGATCACCTCCCATGATGGGATCTGCTCTGAGTAGCATATCAGTTGAAATGGAGCTTCCCTGTGATTGTGGCCTGCATTCATTACAGGTGGACTTTCTGGCAAGGTTCATGGGCTTCTGCTCCCACTACATCATGCAGCTGGCTCCTGTTCATCTGATCTCTGGTTCTTGGGACCTGAGCTAGCAGTTTACCTGCTGTCTGCCTGCTGAAACTGGGATTTGTCGGTCTTCGCAGCCTGTGAGCCAGAGCCCTACTGTTTGACCTGCTGATCTTGGGTTTGCCAGCTCCTGTCACTACATGAATCAGAAGCCTCCAGCCTGACCCACAAACTTGGGAAGTTCCAGGCTCTACAACCGCCATGAGCCACTTCCTGGAGAATCACAGCCCCTCAGTCAACTCCCAGACTTGAGCAAGTTTACACAGCCACAACTCCTTGAATGAAGAGAAGGCCAGAGGCCGGGTCACCCTAAGGAAGAACTCCACTACACTGACAAAAACTTTACTGTTAATCTTTCTACACTACACTG